AATCTATTTTTGTTGTTGTAACAGAATTTTAATGGAATGTACTAAGCTGTTTTGACGTGCTGTTACAATAAACAAATAATTTTAATGGAATGTACTAAGCTGTTTTGATGTTCTGTTACAACAACCAAATAATTTTAATGGTATGTACTACCATACAAAACAATAAAAGATTTTTCATGAAAACATGCTGTATTGCACAATCTTTTTAGAACTTCTTAAAATAAATGTAGACTCATTAAAATAATCATCACAATCTTTATCTCGTTTCATCAGAACTTAACAGATATCCATACTAATGAGAAACGTTTCTTGTGCAGCCGTTAGTATTTATTTTCATAGAGCTCATTAATGTTGGTTTGTACTCTTGGTTTACTTTTCCTACTTTGAATAACTGCATGCTTAATGGTTATTACTACCATATACACATGTGTGTGTGTATTCGGGTATGGCCTATTGGCTAGCGTGTCGAAGTGTGACTTCGATTGTCTATAGTTTGCGTCTCGCTACCGCAAAATTGCCCTCCGCAGTTTGAGACTGCCGTGCGTTAAAAGACTCTACTAGACTCAGATTCTACTAGTTGGTTAAATTAGATAGAGAATTGATGGTGGGTACTTTTATCTAGTTGTCTTTCCTTTAGTCTCTTAGTTCAAAATATATCATTTGTGTAGCGTTACACGGATATCCAAAAGAAATTAACAAATCTAATATATATATATATATATATATATGTGTATGTGTGTGTGTGTCCCTGTATTCCTAATATATATATACCAGCAGAGACCCGAAAACATTTGTGGTCAAATTAGTATTTTTATTGCAACTTTAAATACAGGCATTGCAGAATAAAACAAAAGAATTGTAATCGCAGACACTGAAATCTGAAAGTCCGCTTTCTTAGGCCTAACATTAGTTAAGCCTTTATTAAGTACGGCCTATATTCGATAAAGAGATACATTAACACTGTAACTTGTGTACTTGCTTCGCTTTAATTTAGTTAGAGCTAAACATTGCCGTACGTAATACTATTAATAAATAAACTTATAATGTTATTCTACGACCTAACGTTAGACTTTTTTTAAAAACTTTAATAAGGTTTTAATACGTTTTTGTAAAAAACTTCTACTAAATAATATTTACATCCGCATTTGTTTACATCCGTTGTAATGAAGTGCGCGCGCGCGCACATGTGCATTTAGACAGTAAGGTATGCAGGCATTATCAAAAATTGAGTATTATTATAATACATGTATATGTATTTCTAATATATATGTGTGTGTGTCTGCCTACTTGTATATATTAATGTGCATAAGACGTTTTAACCATTGCAGACACAGTGTGTTTTATGTGTAATAATTCATGAGAGAAGTTACTACAGAATAAAAGTCCGTTTACTGCGATTATCAGTCTAGAAACAGTAAAACATTAGAATACAAAATTTATAGAAGGAGCAGACAGTTTCGATCGACCAGAATTATTGCTTATAATTATTTGTATTTCCCAAACATTTGGGCTCGTAAATAAACTTGGTACTTAATGTTTCAGAATAGAGACCGTAAATAAAGTATCCATTAGAGACAGTGCTGTTTCATTCACTAAGTGATACCAAATTATAATTTTATTTGACTTGGTGAGCTTCTTGTTAAGAATGTACCCAATGGGCAACTACTAGCATAAAACTATAGTGCTGTATTAGTAATAATCGCTCATGATTTATTTTCTGAATTTGTAAATGGACTACATTTTTCAACCTATCTTTTAACTCGATAAGAATTATCTTCCTTTCTTTACTGATCGTAGTAGATAGGCAGAAAAAAAAAGTTAACGCGATCACCAGTATTAAAGGATTTCATGAAATGAAAAAGTGATTAGTGGTCTTCATTTGAGTAAGATCTGCATGTATCCAACAATAAATGTGTTACTTTCCTCAGAATTAAACCGTCTATATTAGGACTGGAACATTTAATGAACAATTTAATCCATGTTTTTTCTTTGCTGGCGTTGCTGACTACTTAGGACTAATTAAACTAAACTTTTACAACAATAACAAGAAAGTTCTCTATGGGAATAAAAAAAACAATAAAGTAACAACTACCCTCGTTTTACTGAACTCGTGAAGATTCGATTTTCTGAAGCATGCACTCTCTATATATACACTTACAAAACATTTTCATATACTTGAGGATTAGGTCAAGTACATGGGTTCCTTTTATAAAATCATACCCTCTGGTGGAGGGATTAATTTCTTTCATAAACTTTGTTAATTAAAGATACTGTATAAATATGAGAGAAAGTAATATTTGCTTTGTTAAATAATTAAACTAACAGTATTTGTCTTCATTATTAGATATTACATTCACGTCAGGAGTTAGCCAATGTTATAAAGATGGATCGAAAATGAATGAGTATTTTTTTCATATATAACACTAAATACATTTCTGTATCGTTTGCTTACCAGGGTTACTGCAATAGGTACTTGACAGAAAAGTCATGCACCATAGTGTTATACAATATGTTTAGTCTCTTGATATTGAATGTTTGAATTAAGCAGAATTGTTGTGTTGTCAAGTGACTAGGAATAAGCATTGGAAGACACACCAATCTCCATATCCTACGGAATGACACACATTATAGTGACCACATCCAACAACTCTTTGTGTTTCTATATGCTAAAGTTAACTGGTCCTGACTTCAGCGTAATAGATGGCAACTTCCACCTGCGCCGCGCTAAACTGTTCGACATGTTTCTAGAAGAAAATGGGATATACAGAGTGGAATGGCTTGCACATTCATCAAAATTCAATCCTATCATACATGTATGGGATGCTTATGGTAGATGTGCCACTTCCCGACAAGGACTCCAGACACTAACGATGCACGGGTAGTATCTCTTTCAGAAAAGTGGTTAGGGACACCTCATAATATCATCAACACTAATGTTTTAAGTGTACAACATTAGTGTCAGATTGATCTAGTTGTTAACTGTGATCATATTCTATATGTGTTAGATGTATACGAATGTTCATTTTAAGTTCAATACGAGAGTATTATTTAGTTTATATAGTGCGAACGTTAAAGTAAGTTATTTTTAGAAGGGGTAATTATGGCAAGTTTACTTATGTAACTGTTTAAGAACCATTTGTTGTGTACTTCAATTGTTGTGAATTAACGTCACATTACTCTAACCTTCTGTATTTTTCTCGTTGCTTTAAGTGAGTATTGTTACATCATAGCGTCTCGTAGTTTGTAGAAAGTTCTAGGCCTCAATTGGGCAATCTATATATATAGGCCACCGAGATAGTGCAAGTTAAATTAGTGAGCGTGAAAACAAGACAACGTAAGTTAGAGATATAGATCTAAACTGTGTTTGTAAGTTTAGTCATAAACAGTGTATAGTGGCGACATTTAAAGTGTTATAATGGTAGATTGTATTGTAATAACAGAGCAGAGAAGAATAATTCGTCTTTTCATTTGGGTTCTAAAGTAACTGAATTAGCCTGTGTGGACTTGTGACGGAAAAGAGAATTACTTAAAGCTCTGTATACAACTGTGGTAACCCACGGGGTAAAATAAGTGAATTTGTCACTGATTGTATTGTGATAGCAGAATAGAGGAGAATAATTTGTCTTGTCAAAGGGTGTTCTAAATTAATTGAACATGCCTGTGTGGACTTTGACGAAAAAGAGACAATTACAATGGCCAACAAATCATTTTCATCAGATATAATTATAAGTGGGCTAGATAGCTCTTAGGATGCTAATTCCAAATTTGTTGTGATGAGACCGATCAAATGTGTAAGTTTATTGTCTTAATTATAATTTAACTTGCTGTACATTTCTTTTTTCACGAGTATGTACTGTATAAATTTAACCAAGTGTATAGTGTGCATAACATTTATGGGACTTATACTGAAAAATGAATCAAGTTATAATGTTAACTAGCCTAATGTGTAATTATTACCTCAATTGTGCTAAAATTAACACCAGTCATATTTCTATAACTAGATGTACTAAAAGAAAAGCGAAAATAGATTTGGAAAAAGCGTGCAAAACCAGTTTAGAAAAGGGTGTTTACATTTTTGATGAGAGACAAAAGTTCGATTTTATCGACTAGTGTTATTTAAAACTGTGGATACAACTGGAATAACCAATAGTGTAACGAATGTTTGTACATACGTTTGACTTGTTTTGAATATATTATTTTATAACAAATGGATTGTGTACTATCCGTTTATTGTTCAAATTTATCGCCAAGAAGTCACAGACACCTACTGTAAAGATTCCATCCATACATACAATATAACCTGACAGTAAGAAAAGGAAATATCATGAACTGCCAAGATTTAAAGTCACTTCTTAATGTTGATTTACGAGTGTAGGCCTAATGACTAATCATTTGTATGCCAGATCAGAAAACAAATCAGCAGATGATTAACATAAATGTTAACTGAGAGAGCAGGGAGGGAAACTGGCGTTATTATATAATAGTATTTTTACTTTCTCATGATCAAAATGTTATAAATTGGAATAAGCATTTGATTGTTCTGAGCATTATGTTTATCACTTGTATATATGTTTTCAGAGTTAGATTTTTGATAAATGAAAAGATAGACAGATACCTATTATTTTGTCACTATAATATTTTTCTTGGCCACAGGAAACTGCACTTAATGAAATAAACAGTAAAAGCAAACAACACGTTCCAAGATAATTTCTTGGGTTGTGAGATAAAAACTGTCATTTTTCTTCTCGTTTATAGATGCATAATTCAAAAATAGCGTATATGACTATGTAGCGTTATGGTATACTTAATACCTGTCTTTATCACGCATAGACTATGTAGCGTTATGGTATACTTAATACCTGTCTTTATCCTGCATATTGACTGGATGAATAAACGTCACTTGAAATGGAACAAGAGAACAGACAGTAGCTGATTTTGACGATGATACCTATGGCCAGTTTGTAGGTTTTATATTTGTGATTTATGAAACATACGCCAAAGAAAAGCTTAAAATTTTTATTTAAAGCCTAATACATCAGCAGTACAATATCTTATACTTATTTATTATATGAAATTTAATACATCACTGTGAAATTGGCAAGCATTTTAGCGTGTTGGATAATTTCAGATAACATGCGGTTATTAGGATAAATGTTATAATATCCTGCACTTAGTTAACTTCAAGTCAGAAAAAATTGTATTCACTGCATATTTCTTAAAGAATAAACACAAAGAAGTTTACAACAACAATACCTCTGAGATTTACTTCCGGTCTGGAATATAAACAGGTAAGGGTAAGCGTTCTGTGTTTCCCTAATGTTTATTTACAATAAAACCCTAATTACCTCTGTAAGATAAGTTATACTAAACACAGGCTTCTTTTGAATTCCTTGTAGACAGTTCTAATCTGAAAGTTTTACGTTTTCAAGACATATTAAATACAATTACGTCATTTTGAACGCCATCTTTTGTACAAAACGTCTACTAAAGCTGTTTCATTTTGCTGTGTTCAGTGATATACGTGTCACATTACTATAGAGCCGAATTATTTTATATTAAGTGACAGCCAAAATGACAACAAACTGGGTTTTTAAATCTCTCTCTAACCAACTTAAACGAGGTTAACTTACTATTTTAATGTTTTACTGTTTTAATCTACAAAACGAGTTCAAAATAATTCTGTTAAAAGTACATCACACAGACTTTAACACTAATAAAAACATTAAGTGCTGGAAAACCACCATCCGTTCAAAAATTAACGCTTTTGTCTTAAACTATATCATTTGAAACGACCGTATTCATTTTTACATCTTTTAACCAACCTCATTTTTTTATTGTTAAGTAATTGTAATGATGTTACGAACAAACAATGTCCATCTTTTCAGGAAGACTTCCCAGTAATGACACATTACTGACTAATTTAAAACAATAGTCAATAGCGCAGGTTATATTTAAGACGTTGTATTATGACTATAGCAGTTTATTTACAGGATAAGTGCCTCAGATAATCAAAGCACATATAAAGATAATTCAGCAAGCCAATCAACCACCTGGTGCCAGTAACCCTATAAAATTTATAGAAATGACATATTTATATCAAAAACTGTATTTATTTACTATGCACAATATCTAAGAAATGATAAATTTACAAGGGATATTAAATGTCTACTACGTATACAACAAAACAAACACATTTCTTCCTTATAAGGCTTACCTTACCTCTAAACGAGACTATAACGTTACAAAAGAGAGAGAGAGAGAGACGCTTCTATTAATAGATAACTTCCTCTGTAAATGTTGTTAGATTTGTTTGAATAAAAAGATTTTTCATATAAAGAGAAATCTAGCGGTCGTGTATTATTAAATTATCTATTTTTCTTGATATGCATACAGGTATACCAACAACAACATCTATCGCAGTTATATTTTAAAGAGACTTAAACATACTAACAACTCTAAAGTCTCGAGCTATGTAATCATAACTTTATACTTCAATAGCAAAGATAGCGCAAACATATTTTAAAAGAAATAAAGCTTGACTAAGATCACACTCTTTTGTTTTGGTTTTTGTAAACTTTTCATAAATATTAATGAAGAGTCTTAAACCACAGTTTCTTTGGAACAGTATGATCAGTAATCACACCAAAATAGTTTTGTACCAGATCGTCTTTCAACAGGTTGATATGCAGCCGACACAGAAGTTTAGATCCACAACTATATAGCCTGTCGTAGAAAACTAGAAGTTTCTAATCTTCCGGATGCTGGTTAGTGGACTTAGGTTTTGTCTTTGGAGGAAGAGATGGTTCCTTGTGGAGGCAACAAAGGCTTTATCCGCGGATCTCGGATCTTCCCCAATTTGACGTTATAATACATGTCAACATAAAGCATGTTGTCACTTATGTCTGGGTTGAAAGGCTGAAGGAGATAAAACACATATACACAGATTTAAAGGTAAAAATTGAAGAAATCCAGAAATATATGTCTGCCATAAAAGAGCTTTACCAGAATCTTAAAACAAATTCTATACACAGACTAGTTCAATACTAAGAATTTGTGCGGAGTTCACAAAATTAATACAAATTCCTTGTTCATTAACACGATTTTATTTACAACTATTTTAAAATTCAGATCATTATTTCACACAGTTTATGTTTCAAACTTTTCATAACATGCTGAATATGTTTAGTTAAATATAGATTCTAAAATGTAATAAAATACATCTAGTGAGTTTAGTAGAAAATGTGTATATACTTTCAATTAATTCAAAAGAAAGTAAAAGATCAACCACTTAATGAAAAATTAGAGATCTGAAAATTAATCTTCCATATTTCTGTCTCAGTTTTATGTCTGCATAAAATAATTCACACTTTATGATGTAAGACGAGTCTAATATAATATTTCTTAAAGGTTTTAAAAGAACGTACATAAGGTAAGTTATGCAGTAATTACACTAACAACTTATTATACACGAGTACAATTACCTTAACCAGTTTTTTTTTCGAAACCCACAAAGTGAACAGATAAATGAAATAAATTTTTAATAATATATATTGAACGTAAAGAAATAACAATCACACAACTAGCACAAGAAGTTAAAGACAGTAAGTACAGAAAGCTTTCAATTATTTGAAAGTGTACTAGGATCCAGTAACTTGTTTGTTCTATCCTGAAAATATATTTCACATACATATCAACTAATTAGGTAACGGCTACTGTAAATTAACATTTAGGAAATCGATAAATGTCCAAATCACGCAAGTTTAAGTTGCTTAAGGAACAATAGTACATGGTGTACATAAAGTCTGGAATCAATGTAAACTTAATTTATTTGAAACGTTTATTTATTAAATTTATGTTTCATTCTTTTTGTTGCAGGTTATGTTGTCCATACGTAATAATCATGAGGTTAAGTTTACAATAGCGCGTTGAAATTATCCTGTTGTGTGGACATTAAGGACGGACAAAGAGAGAAATAGTGCTGGAGTTCAATAACAAACATCCAGAAAGAAATTCAATATCTCAATCATGCTGTATCGTTTACAAACATGTTTTGAACTTGGCGGTGGCCATTTTGAACAGATATTGTAAATATGTATTTAAATAAAATATGTCTACATTGATTCTAGACTTTATGGACACCCTGTATTTAGGTTTACTAGTAGTTGCGTATGGTGTTTCTCACACCTCCAAATTCGTAGTCATGATCCAGTCAATGAATGCCTCGCCCGCTTCGTGGATAGTACAATATCCCCTGGTACCGCAGTGACCGGACAGTGCAACACGAGATGGTCTGTGTCTTGTAGGGATTCCTGACATGCTGGGCATGTAGGGGATTCACGATAACCCCATCGATGCAGGTTGGCCGCTATTCTGCCAAGGCCTGACCTCAGCCTGTTTGCCTGTGTCCATTGCTTTCTGGTTAGGTAACAGAAACCGAGCAGTTTTTGGTTTATTTATTTATGTTGACGAAGTGAAATGAAAACAAAATTCAAAGTCTGTAGAGTATGTAGGTTTCATCCTTGAAAATCTTTAGAATAGTTCAATGGGTTTTATTCTTTCAAGTCTGGAGGATAACTCTATATTTTTATTCTTCCAAGTCTGGAGGATAACTCTATATTTTTATTCTTCCAAGTCTGGAGGATAACTCTATATTTTTATTCTTCCAAGTCTGGAGGATAACTCGATGGGTTTTATTCTTACAAGTCTGGAAGATAACTCTATATTTTTATTCTTTCACCTCTGAAGGATAACTCAATGGGTTTTTCTTCCAAGTCTGGAATATAACTCTATATTTTTATTCTTTCACCTCGGAAGGATAACTCAATGGGTTTTATTCCTACAAATCTGGAATATAACTCTATATTTTTTTATTCTTCCTAGTCTAGAGGATAACTAGATAATGTTGTCCTTCCAACTCGGGAGGATAACTCTACGTGCCTTTATCAAAAGTGACGCACGTCCGAAATGTCCAAGAATTATAGTTATTTTTTCCCTTAAAAGTCATATGTTGTTTTAAAGCTTTTACAGACACCAAGTATTGAAACGTTTGAAAGTTAACAATAAAGTATTTACGAAATATTCATAGCTAGGTATATATTATCATAACATTCAAGATCTTTCTCTTAAACAGGTACATACGCCCTCTATTGTATTAATCCTTCTTTAATTAGCTTATTGTAATAGTCAGCAATTTCCCATGTGTGCAGTAATGAATGTAAGTTCTAATTTGTACATGATCAGAGCTCTTACAACTTTCAAACTCTTGGGGACTTCATCTTTGACATTGATATATTTCATAATTTTAGACATCTTAATGTGAATACGTAAGGAAACGCTTATCTCTTAAACTATTTCTCACCTTATATCCAATTTGTAAGGAAATCACTTTCATGTTGATGCTTTTTGACAGAATCTTCCATAACAAATTTGGACCCACCATTGGGGTTAGACACTATTGCCCAATAAGGCAAGAGAAAATAAGTTGCCAAATTTTTTATTAAGCACGTTCTATTGGGCAAGTTTCTGCTCGATGTTATGACTATATGAATACTATTTTAACGTTTAATAAAGCTAGAGCCGCCCATTGGAAGACCACGAAGTTTGAGTTTATTGTATATTTCATTGTTCCATGTATTTAAGAGATTACTTTCGAAATTAATGTAACTTTGCAAGACGCTCAGTGTAGAGACTACACTCGAGTACAATATTATCAACCTACTCTATACCATTCCATATCTGAAGCTACAAAAGGGGGTTTTTTGGTGATGTTAAAACAAATTCTCTATATGAAGCAACGAAAGGAATTAAGAATTATAATGCTACCAAAAAATTCCTCTGTGCTTATGAAAGTATAAAGGAAATTCGTCACCGTGAAACAATAAGGAATTCACCTATATTAAAATACAAAAATAATTCCATGTTTGAAGCTACAAAAAATATGTGTAAAGCTGTGACAAATTTGAATATATGAACCTACAAACGATATTCCAATGTAAACTAAATATTCCAAGTGGAAGTATATAATTTGTAAACCGTTTGTATGGCATAATATTACAATAAAATTGGTAAACATTTTCCGAATTATTATAATTAAATATCATTCAAAAGTCGAGCATCAACAACATAGATGCTACATACCAGGAAAGTTGATAATTGATAAGTATGTTCAAAACTTATATCAACTGGTTATACATCTACTGAGGATAAAAATAGAAAAACTTTGAACTCTCAGTGGGCATATAATTTTGAGATTTTCATGCACAGACTTTTTTTACGGTGTATCTTTATGAGTTTCATGACCTATCGAAGATGATATAACACAGCTAAAAACAATTTTGACCACTTCCTAGCTAAAGTCCTACTAAAGCTTCCACTAATCAAGCTGCAGAGACTATCAAAAAGAAACATAAAATTAAAATAATTTAGTTTCGCCAACTCCCTTGATAACAAATACTCATCGAAAGAAGTTAAGAACAATCTTTTATCTTCAATATAAACAGTTAATGAAGTTTGGTGACTTGTGTCGTTGTACGTGATATTACTGAACAAAGTTTAAAAACTAAATGCCTGACAGACAGACAGATAGATAAATAAATAATTATACTATTGCAAAAATGGCTTATGTTTTTTCAACAAAGAAATAATTGTAAGAATGTCAGTACTGACAATAGTTATGTAGCTTTTAAACGTTGTGATGATGTGGCTATTATCTATACTGATGTCCAATATCAAAAAACTTTCCACATATTTATTGATTTTCTATAGTAGATGTATAAAATACATTTTCCTTGATCGTTGCAATTAGTTGTTTCTGTGGAAAGTGAATAATATTTTTATTACTCCATGACTCTAATTTGACTGATCTACACTTAAGTACGAAGTATGGAAGACGCACAGTTTTTGATGAAGTAAGACATAGCATAATAGCTTTACATATAGTGGAAAATACAAACAAAACGTTTTGAAACTGGAGTTTAAAGTAATCGAAAAACACGATGAAACTGGTATCACTGATGATAAGAGCATGCCTGGAAAAACCACCTGAGCTTTGCAGATGTTAAGTACCTTAGTCTTATTCCACTCAGAGATGACGTAAATTTAGCAACTTCGTTGCTCCAGAACTGGTGTTAAACTTGGATATTCCACAGTGTGATGCAGATTCTGTCAAGAAGGACTGAAAAGCACATTACAGCAAGAAGACTACAAACAGAAGTAACTTAAGTCTGCCAAAGATTTCAAAAACTGGATAACTTGCATATGGAGAAAACTACTTTGGACTAATGAGATAAAGTTTGAGATCTTAGAAACCAATAGATGCCAGTACATTCATTGCACGAGTGGTGAGAGATTAAAGAGAAAATATCTGAAGTTTTCAGTTAAACATGGTAGATGTAGCATCCAAGTATGCGTTTGTTTAACCACACCTGAAGGTGGTGATCTCTACCGTATTGAAAGAGTTCTGGATTCTTCCCCGTATTAGTAAGTACTCATTCACCATGCTGTTCATTTTGGGCGTCGTTCAGTGGGATAATTTTTTATTTCCGGCATAATGACGATCTTAAAAATACAGCGAGCGTAAACTCTAAATTTGCTTTATATATGCGTTTGCTTAGCCTTCAGACATTATGAAGTTCTGAAGAACCTACATTAAAAAATAATTCAGCATGTTTTGCATTTAAAATACATGGTGATGACTGAGTGGCCTTTAATTTATGCACAGTACTATATTTAAAATTGTCATGGATAGGAATAAAAGAAACGGAATTTAAGACGAATGATAACGCTATATAATGAGGTTGCTTAATTTACTGTACTTAACTCTAGCAATTTAAACTTTCTCTTTAAGGTCTTACATAGCTATGCGTAAGCTGGGATAAGCATTACTTTAGAACATGAAAATACCAAATACGCACAACTTCAAAAACATTGTTTTAACTTTATTATTCTTCACTAAATAATCTCCTGATTAATATGTACTGAAATGTCTCGCAGGCAGAGTAATGTAATAAGTTCATAGACATTATTAACAGTCTACAGCAAGCTTACAGAAATAAAAACTAAGCTACTTATAGCAGAAGAATGTCAGATTTCGAAAATTCTCGAAAGTCATTGACTATGTTACCTGTAAATTTTGTATATCGCCAGGCTTACAGTTAACATGTTTATATCAAAACGTATAATATTACGTAGTGTAAACTCACTTGCTCTCGGAAATAAATACTCAAATAAAGAAAACACTTTTCAAATAAGGAAGTAAATATAAGGATGGCTAATATCAATCCTTCAAAAAAAGATAGTAGGGATGACATGTGCACCATCCCTACATAATAGCACAGGCAAGAATTAACATATAGCAATATATATATAACTATTAAATCACAATTGAATTTAAATGTATCCTATTTTTGTGTGTTAACATTCTACTACACTGTACGCCTGTTCTATTATGTAAGGATGGCGCAAATGCCATCCCCACTATCTTGTTTGTATTGTTTTTAAGGATTGATATTAGCCATCCCTATATTTACTTCATTTTTTAAATGTTTTCCTTTACTTGTTGCCCCCCAGTGGCACAGCGTTATATCTGCGGACTTACAACGCTAGAATCCGGGTTTCGATACACGTGGTGGGCAGAGCACAGATAGCCCCTTGTGTAGCTTTGTGCTTAATTACAAAACAAACCTTTACTTGTTTGCTTGTTATTGTTTTTTAATGCAGTGTTTCAATAAACATAGGAAGGTTGTATTTATAACCAAGTTCTAAATACAATGAGGTTCAAAATGTAATATTTATTGATTATCTATTATTGGCTGGTATTTCCTATTTCAACCTATATTTAAGCTTTTTATAGAAACACTAAATCTTCGAAAGAAAGCTAACTGCAAGGGGTAATAATAACATCGTTTTCTCTAAAATTATGATTTCTTTCATTATCACCAGTTATTAATAATACTTATAAAAGCGAATACTCCGTTTTAAACTATGTTACCTCAGTGAAATTGGTTTACACTATTGTTTTGATTTATTGTGTAATAACTAAGAAGCCGAAGAATGAAAAACAAGAAATTCAAACTTTTTGCTATGATATTTACAGACATTCCCAGAACTTGTTATAAAAGGAAACACTATATAGCATTATAAGGTTCTGATTACATATTGAGCAGATATTTAAAATTCTATTTCGGTGGACAATCCGAGCCATCCCTACATAGACAGTAGTATCGGCTGCCTGATCACTTTAAAATCCCCCAATGTGTAGTTCCTATTTATATCCAGAATTTACAGTAGCATGTTAACTCTTCTTGATTTTCTGTAGTAATTTATAGTAGTGATAATAGATAGAAACATAGGCCTGCAGTCAATGAAAATATACAACTCATTTGTGTTAAACAAGGGAAAGAAAAAATTGTTTTCATAAATATAATAACACTAGTAACGTCAAGTAAAAATAGCTATTATACTAGTATCGCTATTGTTGTTAATATTACCTAAACCTGAGACATCTTTTATGATTTTATAGCTAAAATAAAACCAAATGACATATGAAAGTGCAAAGATGAAACATGGTTATTAGACGTGCAATTTTTTCAACATAATCATAACTTGTGAGAAAACATCTTTTTTAATTCATAGTAATGCTAGATGGCAGCCCCTAATTCCCCAAAATGACAATCATCCACGACCTAGTTTCCTAAATCCATTATGTTATAATACAGATTGTATCATACTAATGTACATTAACTAAAACTCTAACACGTGAAATTACATTTAACTAGTTAATTTAGTATCAAGCACTTTAACTAATATATATTAATCTCATTTCAGAACAGATTAAACTGTGCATTGTAAAATCACGATTATTCACAGGAAACATGAGAAATCGAAGAAGATAATGAGTCTGTTATAAATAGCTGATATTGACTAATGGGTGTTTGAGTCTGTTATAAACAGCTGATATTGACTAATGGGTGTTTGTTGTCTACTATAGAATTTTGGATTATCAAAAGTAGGTTTAATAAGTACAGTAAATACAGACTAATAAAGTATAAACAAGTCATTTCTCAACGACGTGCTTACACAGCCTAAGCCTAATAATAGCACCTTGAAACACTTAATATCATTGTAATTTCAAAACCTCGTGCCTTGGTTAATAATCGCTTGGAAATAAAAGTGTTTTTATTCCAAATCACGGTGGTTAAAACGTGAGAATAAAAACATGGACAGTGAATTCTTCTGATAACGTAAATATCTGTTTACTTTGTTTTCTTTCGAAATACATAGAAGTGTGAAATAAAATGAAGATTTTGACACCTGAATAAATGCACAATTTCTTTTAATTATTTGTTCCACGAAACTTGCTGGTTAATAAAGTGAGTTAGACCTTTATTTAATTAATATGCCGTCTTACAGGAGTGTCCGTGGAATATTAGTGTTGTTCTAGTTTTTCTTTTACGATTAAATATTGCTGCAGTGGATTTATAAAAGGCTAAAATACGTATTATAATACCAACCAGTGCACCTCAATATGCTTTAATATATATAAAAATCAAAAACATTACTATGTGACCTTAGTTGTTTTCAATACCAACCAGTGCACCTCAATATGCTTTAATATATATAAAAATCAAAAACATTACTATATGACCTTAGTTGTTTTCGTTACCCGACACGGTAGACTCCAGCAAAATATACTTACTTTGATCTGCATACTCCCCTTCCTCTGTGAAATTCAGCGTAGCGTATTCAGTAGGTGCGTTTTTCCTAAATACGGGTCTTGCACCACTGTGTGGCAAAGATAAGTCAGCGTAGACCAGACCTTCGTTATTAGTAGAGAAGGAGGGATTCTGCAAACGTCATAACACATGCAATGGCTCAAAAATTAAAAGGTTTTAGGTTAATAAATAATACTCTCCATACAAGTCATTGTGATTTAACAGTTATTAGCAATGTGACAGTACTACATATATTGTTAAAATACGTTTTATGTTATGATATAATTTATCAACACAGTCTCTGTCCACATTAACACGTCTATCATATCACTACACAAACTATTTATGCACTGAAACAACTACCAGATGACACCACAGATTCTATCTACACTAACACGGTTATCAAGTAACTACATAAACGGTTCCTACACTGAAATAACTGTCATATGACACCACAGGTTCTATCTATACTAACACGGTTATCAAGTAACTACATAAACGGTTTCTACACTGAAATAACTGTCATATGGCACCACAGGTTCTATCTATACTAACACGGTTATCAAGTAACTACATAAACGGTTTCTACACTGAAACAACTACCACATGACACCACAGGCTCCATCTACATTAAAAAATAAACTATCACTTGGCTAAACAGACTGTTTCTATAGTGACAAAACTATCACATGACATCACAGGTTCTATCTACATTCACACAACTATTACATAACTAAACAAATTATTTTTGCACTGAAAAAACTACCACACAGGTTATATTTACACTAACACAGCTATCAAGTAACTACACAAACAGTTTCTGCACTGAAACAACTAACACATTACACCATAGGTTCTATCTACAATAATACAGCTATCAAGTGGCTAAAAAAGGGTTTCTACATTGAAACGACTATCACATGACGGCACAGGCTCTTTTTATACATGCAGTGACATAACTATCACGAGATCAACAAAGCTATTTCTACACTGACACAACTATCACGTACAGTCCCAATTTGGACAAAAACTCGTTATTTCCCTTGACATTTATTCAGTTTTATGCTCCGGTGTCCTAATTGAATTTTAACTGCGACCAGACGTATCGTGAATATAATTCAAGATGGTTGTTTATACTTCTAAATAATATTCAAAAGTGGATATATATATATATATATATATATATA